TAACTAATTTTTTAATTGATTAAAAATTAAAATAATATTAAAATAAGAAAAACACTTTTTCACGCCTATTCTCAACGCATCGTCACACAATACACTTTTTTAGAATACTCATGATATTAATGTGCTTTGATCACCACTATGGGATGAAACATTAGTAGTGGCTGACTTCATCAATAACTTCAATGATGGAATGCATAGTGGTATCAATATGTGCTATTTTTCAATAGAATTATTCTACTCTACCAGATTTTGGTTCACAGATTTTGTACAGACTATCTCACATGAGGTGGGTCCCGAGGACCTAACTCATTAAAAAAATCCCCAAAAAATGTTAAAACACCCACCCACCCCATCTTACATGGCTGTGCCAGGTCTTTTACAGACCTGGCACAGCAGCAGAACTCTTTTCAATATATCTCAAAACTTGTTCATAGCATCCGCGATTTTATCAATGCTTACAAGATGAAGTTTATCTCGAGAACCATATGTTATATCGAGATATATCACACGACATATAAAAAATCACAACCTGAATAGAAGCGCATGTTTGTATCCATTAATGTCTTTGATGTTCTTTTGATGTCTTTTCCAGATATGCAATTGCAGACAATGAAGGTAGAACTATAATTATGTTCCAATTTTTAGTCGCTATCATATTGTATTTATTTTTAAAAAATTATAGACAAACTATTCATTCATGTACGAATTTAACTCCGTCTACCTATTGTAGTATTTTTGTAAATTTATAATTTATTACGCGTACACTCTCCTTACGAATTTTTGTTTTTAGGAATGAAAACATAATTTTCTGTCAAAAAATAAACTGACAAACAGCGACTCGCTCGCAAGCTGGTTCAGTTCGAACCTGAGGGTAGAGGGGGGCTAAATAAGTTCTTGTTTGTCTACCATTAATCTAAAACGTTGTTTGTTACAGTAAAATTTTTCATCACATTCACTCAATAAAATGCTCTACACATAAATCAATAAAATTATTTTAAATTTCAACCTTACATATTTTGAAAAATACTATACATTACACTATTTTCAATCCAATAATGGTAGACAAACAGGTTCTAAATGATATAGCTTACGTTAGGCATCCTTTTTTTTTTTTTTTTTCAAACATTCATTTTCAAAACTTATTTTTTAATAAAATAATTTTATATGTATAAATAAATAAATAAAATTTAAAAATCACAATTTAAAAATACATTATCTTACAAAAATGGGCTCAATCGAGGCACAGTAAAATTCGAAAAATGAAAATAAACGACATGGTTTACCGTGTGATGCAACAGGCTTAGAATCTTGCTAGGCACATCACATGGGACAGTCATCTTCCTTGCAGGAATTCGGTATATAAACCTGTAGCCACGCGTTAATCAAAAACTGATTCTCAATTAAACAAGGAAAAGAGGTAATACGGTTATCTAATATCTGATATTTTTACACGTTTTAATAAACTGTATTGCATACAAAGAATTATTTTTTTTTCTTTTTCAAATCTATTTAGCATACGCATATAATTCGATTGCAATTTAAGTCCATATTTTGTACAATTTTTTTAAAAACTTATTTTTAATCACATTTTTTCAATAAAATAGTTTTACATGTGAATCTATTATTTTCCCTTTTTTTAATCAACATTTTTCAAAAATTAACTTTTCACAAAATTTATTCTAAAAAATTTGATATCCAACATGTCTTAAGTTCCATTTATCATATTACATGAGAACGGTTGTACTATATGTACATAATTATTTACATAATAATTTATATACACATGATACGTTGAGATATAATTGAGTCAGAATTTATTCAACCAAATTTAAAAAAAAAAAAACTTTCACTCTCTATGAAATCTATCTGTATGTAAATTATCATGCAACTTCATATGTACGAGTAGTATTATTCACACGGGAAAAATTTCACAATTAAGGCATTAACTGTGCACAATTCAAAAATCAGGTTTTATGTTTAATTAATACAAAAATCGGGTATTTATTTATTAATTAAATATAATAAAATCACAGTTATATAATTAATACTCACATGTACATAATCATATGTCACAACTTATTTATTGATCACGTATTAAATAATTAATTAATCACAAATTAATTCGAAATCACAAATCAAAAATTTTATAGGTCACAGATAAAAAAAAATATAGGTCACAATTTAATGAATTTATCAATCAGTTAAATATTTTCAAATTTGTTGGTAACAAATTATCGAATTTTAAGGTCACCACCGCTTACATAGCACCACTATCACCACCAACACCACGATATCACCACCAACAAAATTGTTGCCACCAGATCCAATTGACCGCTAACAAAAATCATGACAATCAACTCTATCAGATCTCTAGCCACCAAGAACCACCACCCCGTCGTCGCTACCATATCCAATCCCATAACCGTCGCCACCCCACAACACACCACCACCAACAAAACCGTCACTACCGAATCCAACCAAAAAAAAATCCTAAACCCGCCACAACCTCCATTCCAGTCGCCAATGACAACAAAGATATCACCACGCCACAAACTCGCCACCACGTCCAACCCCGTCGCCGCAAGCTAAGCTATCACCCCACTAACAAAATCATCAAGTCTGCTACCACACAAACACCATCCAACACCCACACAAAACACCATCTAAGGATCAAAACCAAAAAAAAATAAATCAAGCAGAGCCGAGGGCAGTGATGTTTATAACGTCGCCATCTCCAAGCCATATCACCGTCGCTACCGCACAAACCATGGGCCACAGAAAATCGTCGGAGAAATATTACAAATTGGAGAAGATTTCTGATCGCCACCCCTGCACTTCCGCTCGTAGAGACTCCGATCTCTTCATTAAGCAGCACGGTGTTGCTTAAGTGGTGGCGACGACGCGGTTCCCTGGGCGAGTGCTCCGATGATGACGGCGGCGACGACGTCTGACAGAGAAGAAGGCATGAGAAGGAGATGAAGAAGATGGGGAGGGAGAGTAAGAAGAATGAAATAAAATTAGGGTTTGTAATTGAATTGGGTGAAAACATTTAATATATAATTATTATGTAATACTTGATTTTTGATTAAATAAAGTTTAGATCTGATTTTTGAATTTGTAAACTTAACTGGCGATTTTATGTAATTTCCTCATTTACACGAGCCTATTTGGTAGGAATTAAAATTAAGATGTTAATCTAATCATTAAAAATAGATTTTTTTTTTTCGAGTTTTAAATAGTGATTTTTTGGGGGCATGCTTGGTTAAATAGTAAAAATAAAATAAAAATAGGTTTACATGTTGTGAGAATGTATTGTTGAAAACGAATTTGAGAAAAAAGAGTTTTATGGAACAACGCATAGTTGTCAAATAAGGGTTAAGTTAAAGTTAATAAGTAATTTTAATCACATATTTTCCACGACTTTTAAACCAGACATATCATCAACTTTTATTGAAATCTAATAAAAATCTGAGTTTAATTCCCACCAAATCGGACTCAGTAAAAATATTATTAAACTACAAAGAGATGGATTTTAACAAATAACTAGAACTTGATAGAAATAGTGTCACGCATATATGAATAGGAAAGGATTGCGCTAAAAGCAATGTTTGAATAAATAAATACACTATTCTCGGTTCCCGAAATTAAAATCAAAATTTTAATATATTTTGATAAAAATTGAAGAAATATGTGATTGAAAAGTCGTGAACTCTACGAAATGTGTTTTTAAAATTAATTGTCAACTTTAATTTAGATTAAAATATTACTAAATATGGGCCTAATATTTCACTCTCTTTAATGTATAAAATTTGTTCTATGATTTTGTACTACGTAGTCATTTTGTCTAGTAAAAAAAACAAAAGCAACTAATTCTCTGTCCCCACCGCATCGCATGTTCATAGACAAATGTGTCTGACTGTCTCTCTATATTATAAATCTTGACCTTTCTTAATCAACAAGTCTATGCGCTCTCTCTCTTTCTTTTATTTAAAAAGTGAAGTGATGAATCAAAATTTTAATTAATCACCGAATTAATTAATTTAATTATAGTTCTAAACCAGAAACCCCCAAAGCCGCGCCACTAGTGAGTCTAATGACCGACCGTTGTAAAGGGAAAAACCACGTCGTCCTCATGTTCCTATCCATGTTCCGTTAATCTCTGCATCACTATAACGTTCCATTTTTCGTTTTAAAAAGAAAAAATTAATTTAACTGTTAATTTTAATTTAGACTATTAAAAAATTATATCAAGAATATCTTGGATATAAATAAGAAAAAAAAACTTAATTTAAATAGCAGAACCCGACATAACTGGCTTCTTGAATTTGGAAAAAGGAAAGTTATTTAAGTGCATTCCAGCAAGAAAGTTGGACTCTTCAATTTCGTTTACATTCTGTAAGTCAAGTGCATTTCTTTCTTGTTTTACTGTTATTAATTTCTATTCTTTTTTGTTTTTGGGTTATTTATTTTGTGGATATTAATGGTAAATTTTTGGGTAAATTGTATCAAGATTCGTTACCTTTTTGGAGCATTTAATTTGTTGTGATATGATGAAAATTGTGGTTTCTTCTACATTGGTTACAGTGCAATCAAATTGGTTCTGCGCAGAGCGTTAAAAATCTCTTTGGCGGCTGAGAAAGACTGGACTGAAGGGGAAGAGAAAAAAGGAACTGGGTTTCATCAATCTTGCTGGAAAATCATATATTTTTTCTTCAATTTTGGGTGTGTTTTCTCGTTCATCAAAAAGGGTATGATTTTTAACATTGGTTCTCTGTGATTGTGTGTAGTGTGTGACTCTTTGCTTTACGTATTAGTCGTGCTCTTACAAATGGTGTTCTGATCTGTTTCTTTGTTAGTCCTACACTACTCAATGTCTACGTATGCTTGTGGATCCAAATAATTTTAATAGATATTCTCAAATTAACGACTTTTTATAATTAAAAAAAATTATTAATTTTGGATTAATATATACTTCACAGGGGAGAGAGAGTTGATTTGCAATGTCGAAACAGAGATATGGTGCCCGGAATTCTGGATTGCCTTCAGTATCTCGATTTCAGAGTGGGCATATGCCATCAGGGGTGGTGCCAGTTTCAAGAGCTGTAAATGTAGGAATAGTCCTAGACAGCCCATCAGGATCTGACATGGATATGGGGTCTGATTCTGATGACGAGTTCGGTGGTGCGCGATATTCACCTGAAACATCACCGCAAGACAATAAAATTCCCAATGGTGGTGCTAAATACAAAAATTCATGGCATGGGCATATTGATGACGCTGGCAGTCACAGGAATCACTTGGAGAGTCTAGGAGGGAGAGGTGGTAAATTTCCAGCGGCACGTTCGGGTTTTGTCTTTGATGAACCAGACTCTGTCACGAGCTCAGAAGTGAATTCTACGCCACCCTGGAAAACATATGTGCCAGATGCTTACAACTCTCGTGTCCATTTGCAGCCAAATGAAGAGACTGCGAATCAGGTAAGAGCTTCCCGTGCTCTTATGAATAGCCTGTAAGTAAGACGTACTTGGAAGATTCAGTATTTCTTAATACTTTTTGGGAATCGGAGCTGATGCTGGGTTTTGCACTAGTGTTTAACTATGCATGGCCTTCCAACTTGTTCAGATCATTGCTTATATAAATGCAGGAAACGCTCTGTCATTCATTTCGAAATCCAGCTGGAATGTTTTGAAATTGATGTTTGATTGCTTTGTATTATGCTCAACTGTTTTATGAACCTTCAGAGTTGTATTGATCTGTTAATCTGAAATTTTATGGCTAGGCTCTAAGATGTTTCATGTCGTAACCTCCTTCCTCGTGTACCAAAAATTGTTTGCTCTTCTTTGGTGCTTCCTTGATGAGGAGGTTCAGGATTTTAACTCTTTTTTGGCAATAAGTTGGTGCAATTTTAGGTTGTACTTTTGCTCAGACACTTGCCATTTAATCTCTTGAAAGAACCCTTTGTAAGATGTTTAGGCCTTTTCCCTTGGATTTTTGGTGAGATCAGAGAATTTTGTTGTCAAATAGAGAGGCAGTAATAGTAGATTAAAATGGTAAAGCTAATTTACATCATCATTTGTTATTTATTGTCATTATCTATTAGTATTTCTATTGTCACAATTGTAGCCAGCTCCAACTACCGCTTCAAGTACATCCTAATACTGCTTATTCCTGTTATTATTATCAACATGGGTGACTTAATGGTGATACAGAGTTCAAATTTCCTTACGTACATTGTGGTTGCAGGGTTTCTGTAGTGTGCCAACCCAGAGTAAGAAGTTCTATGATGATGATATTGCCAGCGCTCCCCCACTGACTGCTGCTTCTCAGCATATTAATCAAGTTGCTGAAAAACCTGTGACGTCAAGAGATAATCTTACCGCTCATCCAACAACATCACGTGGTTCTGCAATTGGGGTTGAACCTAATGTATACAAGAGTACGCCTTTGGGTGCTACAGAAGTCAGTACTCCTGAACCTTCAATAAGGTACACGATTGTCAATGTTCTTAAATGTTCCTACAGCCCCCACCCTTGAGTGGGTTAATAGCTTGTGGGCTAATTTTGAAGAAATAAAGTTAATGCCCGGAATTGCACAGGGCTGCTGCTGTATCTTCTCATTCTTTGCCTTCTCGATATCCTACTTTTCATGCGAGGTATGTCTAAACTGTAGAGTTTGTTCATTAGGTTGGATTAGTCTGTCATATTTCCCTTGGTTACACTTGTACTAGAAAATCTTTACTTCACAGTTCTCATTTTAGTCAGTTTGAAGCAAAATATCTACTAATTCTATGTAGTGTTGTTGTTCATCATCCGAACTGGATACAGTCGGCTAGGTTATTGGTACGGTGTTATATCCTATGATGCGTGCGTTCGGTTGTGTCTTCACTCATGGGCCAAAGGTTGCCTGGAAGCTCCCGTGTTTTTGGAAAATGAATGTGCGCTGCTGAGGGATGCTTTTGGGTGAGATTATTACGGATATTTCCATCTCTCCATGGTTATTTTTCTGCCATTACGGTGCACTTGTTGTATATAATTAGTTTTTGTTATCAACTTTCTGCTTCATAGTTCTTCCTTGTGATTTATAAAAATTCATGCATTTGCTGCAATACATGCCCACTTGCCAGGAGTGTATGTTGTCATTTTAGAGTCTTGAAGTTCATGGTTTTCACTATAAAATCTGATGACTTTCATCTAGTTTATAAGAGTTGAAAAGAAGCATAGTTCTCAGCATCTTATGTACAAAAACAACAATTTTCTTGATTATTCTGATTTGCATACTTCTTGTGCCAGTGATTTTAAACAATTTCCTATTGCATTTGTAGGTTGAAACACGTATTGTTACAATCGGAGGAAGAACTCTTGAGAAAAGAGTCTTCAGAACTTGTCAGCGAAGGAGCTTCTGTAAAGACGAAGAAAACCTTTGGCAAGATTAAAGTTCAAGGTTCTTATAGGTCTTTCATAAAAGAAAATTATTTCATGATTAAATTTGGATGTGGTGTATTTAAGATATCTATAATACTGGTTGTTTTGCAGTGCGGAGAGTGAAAATGGGGCTGGACCCACCTACAGGCTGTACCTTTTCATCTTTAAAGTCAACATCTGTTGTAAAGCTGGAATCATTTCAGTTTCGGTTATCCAATGTAAAATCAATCCTCTCTTCTGAGAGGAAAGCATTACGGAAAGCACATGTAACCCCAAGAGTTCCTGTGGATGGATCTTTTTTACAGCAGAGTATGACATATATAATTGTTGGGACTCGCCGGTATATGAAAGAAGTTCCCGAGCTTATTAAAATTGGTGTGAATGCTTGGCGCAACAGTTCGTCATCTTATGAAGTAGTGCAAGGTATGTAGGCAATTTGTGTCGAAGAATTCTTCAACTGATGGGTTATAAGTTATAACTTTGTTTCTGATTTTCTTTATTTTTATCTTTCCTCATGGTCATACGACTCATACCCCTTTTATTTATAGTAGTCACGGGACAGCTTATTGGTTATTTATCCTCTTCATCAGTTGTTGGTATAAAAGTTTAATATCACAGATATTTCTGATGTTGCTCTATTTTGTACTTTATTTTCTTATAATTTTTAATATACGCTGTAATTGGAATTAAGTTTTTATTTTGCTTCTTAAACCATCTGAATTCTAAAAACTTCATGAATTTACTGGGGAATAAAAATGTTTATGCAACTTTGACTTCTTTATTACGCGACATTTGACGATAAAGACAGAGTTCAAGTGGTTTAGTGTTTACGCAAGGAAGTTTAACTTGGTCACTCCATTTTACTTGGTTAGCTGGAGTGGTGAAATGTAGCCCCTATTTAGCCCCCATGTCTTAAATCTGATTTTTCTATAAACTCATTTTCAACCATACATTTCGTGGGATCCACAATTTTTATCAATTATTTAACCACTCAATTCACCAATTTCTATTAAAATTTGCTAAAAATCTATGTTTTATCCACACCAAACAATGGCGTAATTTTAGGATATTTGAAAAGTATATTACATTGGGATGGCGCCAAATTATCTGGAAGTGATAGAACTGCTGGTGTGGGTCTCCCAGAGAACCTGACGGATTTTTGTCTTCTTGTTTTTACTGGTTAAATAAATAACATATATAATGGTAGATAATCTAATTATGCACCCCTACTCTTGTATCTAACAGCCCATTTTTAATCCTCTATTCACGAAAAGAACTGTACCAGACTGGGCCTGTTTCGTTTTGCTCTTTCATAGGGAACCTACATGTCCTATACCAAAGAATCCAAATTATGAACAGTTCGATCCAGTTCTTACAAGAATTATGCAGAACCGAACCCCACCCCCACACCCACACCCACACCCACACCCACCCCTAACATTTCAACTTATTTTTTGAGAAAAAACAAATAGGTTGGAAATTTTTAGTTATTGATAGATTCATATTGATTTGTTATATTAACACGAGATGAATTTGTGTTTTATCTCTACAAGAACATGTATCTAGAATTAGAAAATTCCTGCATTTCATTTTGATATTGATTATCTTGTTAAAGGGAATTGGAATTCATTTTGACAGAATCATATTCCTGTTTATTGAGATTGAAAAGTTCACCTGAGGAGGATGCAGTGAGAATGCAGCCAGGATCTGGTGAAACTCATGTTTTGTAAGTAATCTTTTTCTCTTTAATCTTATTACATATTCTTCAATCTCATAGAGTTGGATGGTTAAATTTCTTTCCCACTTGAATATAGCTTGCCAGAAGGGTTTGGAGTTGATTTGACAATTGAAGTCCATGATTCGAAAGGAAAGTATTTTGGCCACGTAGTAGNGTAGTTCAGGTGGCTGATATTGCTGAAGAATTGGTATGTTATCTAAATCTCATTTTGAACACCTGTGATTGCAAAAACTGTTGCATGGTCAGAGTGAATATATTTTTGGGTTTGATGCAGGGGGAGAGGCTTCGTTCATGGCCTATATATCATGAGCCAGAGCATGAACTAGTTGGGAAAATGCAGCTGAATCTAAACTATTCAACAACTCCCATTGAAAACAGTAACAAGGTAATGTCACTCTTTAGGACAGGATTTATCTCTCACTTTGTGTTCGGATCGGACTTAATTTGCTTATTCTACATCTGGTTGTCTCAAAATTATTGACCAATGTCCCAGCTATCCTGGCTCAACCTCTTTTTATGTTCCATGTCTTCAGGCACAATCAAGCTTCTGATTGTGAAACCGGATTTTCAGTACATGATCTCATCATTCAATGCTTTCAAAAATAACATAATGATTTTTTTATTCACCCATTTCAGTTTACCGAGTCGGGTAATAGCCTCTGTTCAGTCAACTTAAGTGCATGTTTGGTCAAATACTAACAACTTCTTCTTCTTAACATATTATGAAGGATCCATAGCTTATAAGCACTCCCAAGCATGCTGTAAATGGTTCCCATTTCAATTAATCTGTTTTATATATATATAACTAAAGAAAGAAGCCTCCAGTTAAATTAATGTGTAACTACTTCATTAAATTTCTTTTCAAAAGTTTTGAGAAAGTGATACTGAATGAATGAGATGGAATTCTGCTTCTCTGATCCTTATCTCACCAAACGAGGAAGATTTTTTTTTTTTTGTGGAAACAGAACCACAGTTCTTGTTAATGCTGTTATATCTACAAATTTTTTGATACTTGTGTAATGCTAAATATGGGGAGGATTGTTCAGATACTGAGTTTAGCATAACCTTTGGCAATTCTAGAGAAAATCATATTTGCAGGACGGTATGTAGTTTATATAAGATTGGAGGAGATAAATCTAAAACTTAATATCATTGCATTCATTTACTCAATTTAAAAATATATCAATCAGCAATTACGGATTTATTTATTTATTTTTTGTCGAAATGATCAACATTTCTTGAGAAATGACTTTGTAATCATGACTTTATGCAGTAGAATCTAGTTAAGCTGGCAGATTATTAAGAGTTAGTGAACTTTTTGTCAATGGAATTCATTTGTTTATATTAAAACTTCCTTTGCATTATGGCATGACATGAAGGAGCATATCCCATGTGTTTTAGTTCTGACATTTCCTGATATTTAATTATCAGAATAATCAGTAGATATCTTTTGGCTTTTTTTCACTAGTCTTTATTATCTTGGTGTTATCATTAACACTCATGGTTAGTGTGTTCAATATTTAATGGAACATGGAATATATGTATGATATTTTATTTTATCTTATACACCTTCACAGCTAAGTTATATGAAGGAAATTTTCTACTTAATTTTTGTGCTTATATTTTCATTGATATATATATGCCACAGTGTGCATCTGTCGCGGAGACAATTGCGTACGATTGTGTTCTGGAGGCAGCAATGAAATTACAACAATTTCAGCAGAGAAAGTTGTTGCTACATGGTTCTTGGAGGTGGTTGGTAACTGAATTTGCATCTTACTATGGAGTTTCAGATGCATACACGAAATTGAGGTACTGCAAAAATGTGATCAACTGGTTTACTTGGAGAATTATTTGTCCCAGATTATCGGTGTTGTTATACATAATCTATTTTATTGAAATCTCATGGCTTTGCAGATATCTTTCATATGTTATGGATGTTGCCACACCCACTGCAGACTGTCTGGAGTTGGTTTATGATTTGCTTCTACCTGTTGTTATGAAAGGAAAAACTAAACACACATTGAGTCACCAAGAGGTAGGTGGAATCCGATGTATTTTCATTTCTGAACTTAGATATTATGTCGTGGTTTTGATAAATTTAAGGAAATGACTCATTTCCCAAATCTTGAATGTAGGCTTTTTTTGCCCCATGAAAAATGGATTATAATTAACGGGGGCCTTTCAGGCTTTGTTATTATATTTACAACTTTGACAATTTTATTCACTGACCAGGGTCGTATTCTTGGGGAAGTTTCTGATCAAATTGAGCAGATATTTAGTTTGGTTTTTGAGAATTACAAGTCACTGGATGAGTCGTCATCATCTGGTATTGTCGATGTGTTCATACCTGCTATAGGACTGCCAGCTCCTGCTCTTACTCCTGCTTTGAAACTTTACAAGCTTCTGCATGACATACTTTCTTCTGAGGCACAATTGAAATTATGCAGATATTTTCAGGTGGCTTCTTTAGCTCAAATCAAGTCCCTTTTAGATTTCTTTCAACTGTTTGATGGGCTAACTTTTATACAGAATGCTGCAAAGAAGAGGTCCAGGATGCACTTGGCAGAAACAGATGACTTGGTCTCCAGCAATAACGAAAACATATTGTTGGATCCAGTGGCTCTTTCTACTTCTTACAAGAAAATGAAATCACTTTGTTTAAACATTCAAAATGAGATCTTGACTGACATTGAAATCCATAAACAACATATTCTCCCCAGGTATTTGTTTCCTTTGGTAATAGTTTTTGTGATTGTGTGCTATTTATGGACGATCAGAAATAGTGACCAAAATTTATTGACAATGGGTCTTTGCAACACTTAAAATTCATTTTTTCCTTTGCCCTTGCAATTTCACTGTCATCATATATGTGTTACTCTTGAATTAGAGGGTTTGGATTTAACCTATAAACATTTCCGCATTGCTTATGTTTGGTAAGGATTGTTTCCCTTTTAATTAGGTTTGCTGGCAGCTGCAGGAAAACACACTGTAATTTTATTTTAGTCTTAACTAACATCCAGTTTTGTTACACCAAATGCCTAGTCTGTGGATTGGATACAAATATATGCTTTGGCATTTCTGTGTAGATTAGCTGATACATTGTTTAATGAAAGAAGAAATGCAAATCTTTGATATATCAGTAGACTGGTAATTTTTAAAAACAGTATTAGTCATATATTAACATTTGTGTTCGGCAATTTTTATTCAGCATTCATTATGCAGCAATGCTCCAAATCCTGTCTTCTCTAAATCATATAACTGATCATTAACTATCAGTTCTTAATAGTGATTAGTGTTCTGTGGCTTTTGTGTAGTTTCGTAGACCTCCCCAACCTATCTTCATCCATATATAGTACAGAGCTCCATAATAGATTGCGGGCATTTCTTGTTTCATGCCCTCCTGCTGGACCATCGCCTCCTGTTGTAAAACTTGTTATAGCAACTTCTGATTTTCAAAGGGATCTTGCTTTGTGGAATATCAGGTGTGGAATCGTTCATAATTCATTTTATTTACTTGTTGTACTCACCCTTATTTATATTTTACTTACATAATGGAATTTTGGCAGTCCGATCAAAGGGGGAGTTGATGCAAAGGAGTTGTTCCACTTATATATAAGTGTCTGGATCCAAGAGAAGCGCCTTGCAATGCTTGAATTGTGCAAACTTGATAAGGTAGGTACCAAAGAGTAGTGGAGTAGTTTATCATTGACTCATAGATGAGTTATTTATCTTGATGAGCCAATTGCACTATATCCTGGCCAGTCGAATCACCCTGTACTGGAAGCAGTCATCTCGAACAGAAATGCCATTATGGTTGAATGTTGGCATGTCTATTTTTTTTAAACCTCATAGATGACCAACTTGTTGAAATACTCGTGGTCTTGCTTCACAGCAAAAAAAATTGATAGCATACCTTTTTCTTGTAAGATAAGTAAATTTTATTCTGGACATTATCTTCCCTCATCAATGCCATTTTCCTCTTTCATGTGCCCTATGCTCATGCAAACAAAGCGGTTAGATATTTAAATTAAATATGGCTTTTTATGAGGAGATAAAATAAATCCAATTTTCACTGATCTCATATAGCCACTAAATCATGTGTTGTTAATCGTTATTGAGTCACAGTTGTAGAATCTCTGCATTTTATTCCTACATTTCTTTCACCAAGTTTATGGAGAGAATCTATACAAGTTTAAACGCCAAGAACAATTAGCTAAATAATATATGTAACGCACTCTTGGATTGTTTACTTGGGATTGCTTCTACAATATGGCTACATTTTATTCATACATTCAATTTCTTTTTCTTTTTGTTTTTTTTCTGTATAATAAGAGGGAATTATACACTCACTATTGGAATGAGTTTGAGACTTACAGCTATATTTTTATGCATAGGGTCACTTTTCTTTCTTCTTTAAATAAGAGGGAACTGCACATTAAGGTATCAATATTGAAATATGTTTGCTGGAATTGATTTTCCTTGATACCTAACATAACTTCCCTCTAGACCTAGCTTCTATCAAGCTCCGTCTACAAATGGATAAGGCTGTTGCTTTTAATTCTCACTAGATTTTTATAATGCCAGGCAAAGTGGTCAACCTTCCACACACCACACACCACAACTCCTTTCATTGATGACATCTATGATCGGCTAAAGGAGACACTCAAAGAATATGATGTCATTATCAGCCGGTGGCCAGAATATACTATTACATTGGAAAGTGTAAGTGCAGTTTTTACTATTTTATTCTTCATTGTTTTTCTTTCTATTTTCTGGTGCAGAGAACAATGTGCTTTGCCCGATGTATTTTAGTGATGGAAGTGTGTTTGGCTTGACTTAGCAGCATAAATAACATGAATTTTGATTTTGTTCTTTCCTAAAATTTAAGGTAGATAAATGTGAAGTTTCTATCACCCTCTCTCAATTCTGTCAATTCTCAGAAATGTTACTGTTAACTGCACTTCTATGATCATCTGAGCTTTGTTCTAGCGATACTTTTATGAGAAATTACTTTTGAATCGACATCAGATATATATTTTCTAGCTACTACTAGATCTCCTCAATAGGATGCTTAACTCATACTCCAGGAATCCCTGGACATGGATTAAATTCTCTGCATTATAATTCTTGTGCATTCTTTCTCTCATTCATCCTTCTTATATGCATTTCATTATTATCTTTCGAAAGGCCATAGCAGATGTTGAGAAGGCAGTAGTTGAAAGCTTGGAGAAGCAGTTTGCTGAAGTTTTATCTCCATTAAAAGAAAACACAATGCCCATGAAATTAGGTCTGAAATATGTCCAGAAATTTACGATGGGTAACTCGACTCCATATGTCGCCCCCAATGAGGTACGATGATTTTGTCTTTTTGCAATATAGCGATTTACTCTCATTTCTCCCAAGCAACAGTTATCGTATTCATTTATTTTTCAGTTGGGAATCCTTTTGAACTCCATGAAAAGGATGCTTGATGTTCTGCTGCCCCCTATAGAAGAACAATTGAAGTTGTGGGGATCCTGCATCCCTGAAAGTGGGAGTGTGGTCCCAGGAGAGTCCCTCAGTGAAGTAACAGTGATGATTAGAACCAAATTCAGAGCTTATCTGCAAGCAGTCATGGATAAACTTGTGGAAAATGTAGGTAATCTATGCGGAAATAAGTATATTGTTGCATATTCCAAGCATGTGACGAAATGGTATTGGAATGAAGTGTAGATATGTTTCATGGATTGATTTGAAAGGATATATTTGTAAATCGTCAGCCTTTAATTGATTCCAATAACTATAAGTTCTCAATACTTTTGGCGGTGCTAAGGCTCCATTGTTTTCTACCTTTTTCTCTGTATGTAGACAAAACTACAGCGTGCTACAAACTTGAAGAAGATAATCCAAGATGCAAAGGAAACTGTAGTAGAGTCCAATTTACGGCATAGGATGCAGCCTTTGAAGGATTTGCTGGCCGATACTATTAACCAACTACACACTATACTTGAAACTCAAGTGTTTGTAATAATGTGCCGAGGTTTCTGGGATCGTATGGGTCAGGTATACAGCTGTTGAAGTGCACTTGCAATTATTTTTCGTTAATAGCACATTTTATAATGAACTCTTGTTTTAATTCAGGACGTGCTAAGGTTTCTGGAGGATAGGAAGGAAAACAGATCCTGGTATAAGGCGTCACGAGTGGCGGTAACTGTAAGTTACACTGACAATTTCCATAATTTTCCCAAAGCTCTCATTTACTTAATGGGAGATTTCTCTCTTCCTCTTTTATATCATTGTTATCAATATTTTCCATGTTGGTATTTACTCCTCTTTCAGGTCTTGGATGATGCATTTGCGTCACAAATGCAACAGTTGCTTGGCAATGCACTACAGGAGAAGGACTTGGAACCACCACGATCTATCCTAGAAGTGAGATCGATGCTCTGTAAGGATGCCGTGAACCACAAGGAAAATGACTACTATTATTAAAAACGCAACTAACTGTACATACAGATGAAACTCAACATGGATATGCTGTGATGAGCTTTTGCTACTCCATATATGGGTGAAAAAGAAGCCGGAAAGCCTGAGAGAAGAGGAGGTTTTTGCTCATTTTTTGAGGTAGAGCAATTCTGGAGCTGCAGAAAGACCAATGCTCATGGTCTCCATAGTTCTGTTTACCTTGAATTTAAGCACCATGCAATTCTGTTACAAAATGCAATAATAGAAAGTCACTGTTCCCATAGGGAATCTTGATCGTCAGACATTGCTTTTTTCTGGTTCAATTTATATTCACAAGTTCAATGTTCAGATGCATGTAAAGGGTTAGCCTCATTTTAGGAATTATCTGAATTTATTTAATAAAAAAAAGAGAGAGAGTGAAATATCACAAGAAAAAATTAGCCCCTATTTGACCACCATTATTTGAAATCACTTTTTTTTTACATACTCATTTTCAACTATACTTTAACACAATAAAATATTTTATGTCTAAGTTCAATTTTTTATTTTACTTTTTAACTACGTATTCTTCTTAAAATTATTATTCAAAATTTTATTTTTCTCAAATAACAATAATAATTGTCAGACGGGGGCTTTTAAAGTGATGGAAAAATTTTTAGTCCTTCGAATTCGTACATTATAGAATAATTCTGATTGTACAAAATTATCGGTCACAGAAATTGCCTAGAAACTCACATGGGGTGGGCCCCAAAAATATTGGAAAAAAAAAACCGCTAGATCTTTGAATCATGCTATAGTGTCGATAGGTTGACGCAAGTTTTGATATAATTTCACGTGACATTTTATCATTAAAGTGTTTAAAATATAATTAATTATTTCATTCAATCATATCTTGTCAACACTCATTTTGTCAAGACATCTGTCAATATCTTTATGTGAGGGTGTTTTTATCCTATATCTTTAACTTAGTTCAACAATTTAGATATTTAAATTTTGTGAATGGTAATTAGTTGGTGTTGAGATTCGTTTAATTTTTTCGGTTTGATGTTTCAGTTGTCAACTTTTATTATTATTATTAATTTTTTGGCAGTGGTCTCCATTAGAAGTAGGAGTGATCGAATAATGCCTTGTGGCATAATTGATCTACACAACTCCTCAGAAGTCAAAACCATGTCTTGTGTTTGAGGCTGCATTTGTGTGAGATTATGAGGGCACGTTCAACAGGGTTTTTACTTTTTTTTTCTTTACTTTTTCATACAAGAGAAGTTACATTAATTGGTGTTTGAAAATTAATTTTTAAAAGAGATTTATAAGGGCATTTTTTTTTTTTACTTCTTATAGAAGTTTCATGAGAAAGTTACATTAATTGGTGTTTAAAAATAATTTTCAAAAGAGATTTCTTTTCCTTAATATCTTTTAGAGGAAGTCACATTGAGTCAACTGAGTATTTGACACCCATTTTAATGGGTTGAAAAATTTTGGAATAGTGATTGATAGGAGAATGGGTGGTGAAAAAGTGATGAAAAATTTTAGATTTGTGTGTAATATTATTTTATTTGAAAATAAAATATAGACCTCAAATAAATTATTTGTCATACTCTCTTGGAGTGAGTTATGTTGATATCGAGGTAACCATTTTTGTCAACTAACTTCAGTCGAGCTTAGTATTTTTTTTTAGCACAATTAATATACTCGTACAAGCTTAGAACTCATTTAAGGCACGTAAACAAAAACCGTCACGTAACATATCAAATAATAATATTTGTTGAGGTAGTAATTGACTGCATAATTCCATCTTTATTAAGAAAAAAAAACCACATATTTGTTGCGATTACACTTTTTAACATATTCCTTTCTTCTTCCCAATTCTAAGGAATTAAAAATAAAATATATATTTTCCATGATCGTCATCATCACGTCACCATCATATTGTATTAAAAATCTTTAAGCAATTTTCGGACCTGTTCCAGTGTGACAAAGAGCACTATCGTAAATGGGCCCTGCCTAGAAATTGTAGGTATGAATCCTTTGTAAAGGGCCATGGGCCCCTCGGCCTGAATAGTCTTCACTGCACAATCTAGGGCCCCAGTGTAAGGTGGGGCCATCCCCGGCTCCACCTTCATGTTCATAACTCGCGTTTTAATCACGTCCACTGGGTTGGAGGCCACCGCGGCAACGAACCCGGCGGCGAAACTGGCCGTCACGTGGGTGCCAAGACCGTCCTTCATCCAGTGTTTTTCTAGTATTGTTTCTTTGAATTGATCGTATGAAGCGAGTTGTGAAGCCGTCACTAACATGGCGCGATTCACAGTGAGGGAAGAGCCGCGCCACAGGCTAGTTACGCCCTCGTTCTTGGCCATCTGAGAAATGGCGTCCACCACGCTCTTGTAATTGCGCCGCTGAGCCAGAGGGAGACGGCCATCGGCTTGCATCCGAACCATAGCTACATCAGCCGGGTTCCCCACGGCGGCTCCGATCCCACCGGCTATGAGTCCTGCCGCGATCTTCCTCGTCAAAGGCATGTTTTTGGTGTTGGGATCAGTCCACTTTTGCTTCAAGATGTCGTACAGTCCCATTCTGGTGGTGGAGTACAGAGTCTGACGGAGGACGGTGGCAGAAACGCCGGAAAAGAGAGCTTTGACACCATCTTGCTGAATAATCCTAACCCCAACAGCAATGGGTCCCACACGGGGTGGCGGTGGAGGCGGAGGGAGGTTGACATTGCCGGCAGATGTCGGAAAAGCAAGAGCAGGACGAAGGTTCTGAACCGCCGGATTGGGTGCAGACGCTTCGCCCTGAAGTTGCATCCGAACCTTAATCAAATCCAGTGGGTGGGTGCTACACCCTGCAACAATAGAAGCAATGCCTCCTTCAACAAATCCCATCAACCCCATAATAAAAAATTATAACTTCGTCAAGAAAAACTGAAAATCAATTCCCAAGATTGGAATTCTTTGGCGCAAAACGAGCAAGGAATTTGATTCCTTTCCCTAAAGAATGAAAGTTTCAACAAGAAGACCAATTGGAATTAGAGTTCATCTCACTGGAAACCATGAGATGGGAATGGAGACCAAAAGCTATAGAGGAAAAGTGTGGAACGTTGGTCCTCTGAGACATATGCTGTAAAATTGTTTAAAATGAATGGTTTCTGAGAAAAGAAGGGGCGGAGGGATTTTATAGGGGAAAAGGAAGCTAGGTTTTAAGTCACAACGGCGGAAATGTCTTGCTTTTAACGCGGTTCGTTGATGGTAGGGCCGCCGCCGTCTTTTAAATTGGCCCAAGTCATGGACCTCGACTTTGAAGTTAATTGCCAATTCGAATTTAATCAAGAAAATTCTATAAAACTTGTTCAAGTCTTGTGGCTACGTTAAATCTATATATCGGTTTCGACTTTTCATTTCTTACTTCAGCAAAAGCATTAACTAAGGTGTAATTTTCTACCGTTCCACTTCCATTCAAGAAAATTCAATTAATTTAGGTTTACGATCAAAATATTATCGTTTTAACTTTAGATCTACAATTATGTCTGTGAAGAGGAGTCTTGAATCAATAGTCCACTACATTAATTTTGTGATAATCGAGCTCCAAACACATAGAGAAATGTATATTTTATCTAAATTATATCTTACTGAAAAATACATTTCTTGTTAACCTTATCAATTTATATTATGACATAATCACACAACAGCCTTAGCATTAAAACTTGAAGTTGCATTCTAATGTATCTTAGCCTATGTGTTTGGCGCTCGATTATAAACTCAAATCACTTTTTATCTACATATTTTAAATAAGTAGTACATTATTCATCACACATTTCTATTTAATTATAATTTAAACATTTATATGCACTTCACAAACATGCTTAATACTGTGGTAGGTTTCTGGTTTAGAAATAGTATCAAAATCAATTTTGCATAACATATATGACAAATGTGGAGACTCTCTCTAACTTAAAATAATTAAGGAACAAATCATTATGTATATATACCACAACCGTTATTTTTATATGAAACAATTTTATATAATGGCACGACAAAACACGGTTACTTATTTTGAAAGAAGAAGAATTCATTAAATACTTGTATTTGACGTATATTGGCTATTGAATTTCATGTTGGAACAATAATTTGTCCATAAGCATGCATATTTGCGTGGGAAAAGTCCCACCACGTCTTTTTGTTAAGCAATTGAGTTCTGCCGTCTAATGTTGAACATAATCAATACGGATCTGTTAGTGTTCATATTAAAGAAAGAAAATTCTTTTGATTTCTTTTTGTCATATTTTCTTCTTTATTTGGTCTTTTTTTTAACGTCTAGATATTCGTGCTTTTAAATGAATAAAAAAAAATTTAATAATATAATTTTTAAGAAATATATTATTTTAGGATAAATAAGATTTTATTTCAGAACTTTACTTTTCCTCCAAATTTCTATTTATTTTTGAATCTTGTTACATATATATCAAGATTTACATTATGGATTACATAATATTGCATGATACCCTACCATTTGCACATTAAAACACAATCTACTTTTTCATCCAATTTTTTCCTTCCACTTCATTTTAAATGTGCAAATGGTAGAGTATCATATAATATTATGTAATCCATAATGTAAATCTTGATATATATGTAACAAGATTCAAAAATAAATAGAAATTTGGAGGAAAAGTAAAGTTNTATGGGATTCAAAACTTTTCAATTAATCTTATTTTTATCGAAAAACATGGGCTTAATATATATTCTTTTTACTTTTTTTTTTAGTAAAACAAATATATCATAAATGAAACATATTAGTTTATTTGCAATATACGAAATATATGATTGAAAATGAATATGAAAATTAAAGAGTTTCGAAATAATGGTTGTCAAACCGGGGGCTTAGTTGCACTTTTGTATACGTTATTTTTGTCTGCTTTATTTAACATTACGAGTGGAAACAACTTAATATATTTTTTTACGAAAACCGTAATCGTAGAGAATATGTGTTAACTAATGAAATGTTAAAGATATGAATGTGATTGAAAA